GGGAAAGTGCAAGGTGAGATTTCCTGTGAGCAGATCTGTCATTGCTCTTCCCTTCTTTTAGGGGGTGATATTTATTGCCTTCTGGATTTTGCTGCTTTCACTGCATTCATATTATTGCATCTGAGACCACAAGTCCCATGCTGACGGGCAGTCCCTGGGAGATTTAGCTACGTTCCCAGAGCACAACCTCGTGCTCCTGAGAACTTTCTTTCACTTCCCACCAGTGTTACCTCATTTCTCTTTATCGTATAAACACCAGCCCTGGAGGAACCTGGACCATGACAGTGAAATTCTCTCTAGTGGACTGGTCAGATAAGCAGGAGCATCAGTTCTCGAAGCCTTCCCGGGGGAGGCACATCTCGTGAGGAAGGGCTCTCCTCCTGCCTGGGGGACCCACCGAGCAGCACCCCGGAGGGACAGGCACTCAATGACGTGGACTCGTCCTGACCGGCCTGTTTGCTAATATTGTCCCCAAAACAGAGCCCGTCGGAAAAGGACAAATTGCCATGCCACAGTCAGCCCTGCTGTTGAATGGGAAAGAGAGTTTGTGACCTCAGAGAAAAAATTGGTAAAATACAGATCGTGGGGCACGAGAGGTCCGTGAGACGGAGGCAGGAGCTCTCGCATCCCCGGAGGAGCTCAGGCTGGCTCCATCCTCAGTAAGAGCTATTTCAAAACAAGTATTTCTTCCAGGATGTCACATGGAAAGAGACTGTCAGAAAGCTGTCTAAATGTGTTAACAACACTGTCAGCGGGGGAGAGAAAAGTGTTATCAGAAATAGTGGTTCTTCAAAGCTAAGTAACTCAGTGATTTTATAAGGAGTAAAAGATAAGAGATCACACCACACACCGAGGGCTGTTGGAATTTTCTTTCCAAGAATGAAGCTGTTTGTTTTGTTAAAAAGGGGAAGAGGGGAGAAAGTGAAAACCTAAAATACTTTGACTTTCTTGACTTAGCTTTCAACAGAGCTAAAAATAACTCCGATTGCATTCAGCCCGCGCAGGCGCAGCTCAGGATAAGCTCGAGCACGGGGAAAGGATCCCCATCCCATTGACCAGGCTTCTTTCTGGCTCCCTCCTGGGGCCATTCCGAAGGTCTTCCAGCATCATCACCTGCAGATGGGAGGAGTGCAGCATGTCGTTGCTCCATGCAGACAGACTTGGGCCTCTTCTGATTGGCATCCGTGGGATTTTGGGTGTTTTGTGGGATCCAGATTTTACCCTGAACAGAGAGACTAATTTCCTGCTACTCAGGAAATTCTGTGTTCTGTAGCTAAAGCTCCCTTCTCCTGTACCACCAGCCTCCTTCCCTGCCCCGGCCCTAAGAGTGCTCTTCTGCTCCAGATCTGAAGGAGAGTTTCAGGCGTTTGCTTTGGATTCTCATTTTGAATTTTTAAAACTCCCCACCTCAGCAGCAACATCAGTGGTCATCACATAAAGTAACATAAAATAATAAGATGTGAAGTTGATTCTAATTAGCATGTTTTCCCATATGCTGATTGACATTCTCTGGAGAGCAATTAGCCTGCTTTAAAGGTAAAAGACAACTGAAAATTATTTAACTTGCCTGGTGATTGATATTTAAAATCCAAGAAGTCACACATGATAATGGATGACTCCATCAAAAGATACGTAAAAGTAAGCGGTAACGGCTGTGTTCGATCCTGTCCCGCCTGAGAAGATACCGACAGTTTGTGCTGAGGCCATCTCCTACAGACCTGGATCCCACTGCACTGAAGGCCAGACAAAGATGGCATAAGAAGGTTTTCATGGAAGAACAGATATGCAAACAAACTCCACGTGAAGCTGATAAACCTCAGCGTGTGCTGAACAACACATGGCGTTGCAGCAGGGAGTCTATGGGCCGTACGGGTCAAGGAAACAGCATGGTCCCTTCCTGGATAAATTTGGCAGCAAATACTCTCCTGGACATCAGGAGGATGTTACAAAGCATGACAGACCTCAGCACAGCCGTCTTCTATCTGTCTGCAAAGCTATGGGAGGCAAAGAAAGGGCAGGGGAAGCTGGGACCTGGACAGAGAGAGAGGCAATACGGGAAAAGGTCGTTAGCACCAGGTCGAGTGAGCAGCACCCATTAATCTCCAAGACATTTGAAACAACTTCAGAAACAGGGCAGAGGCAGAAATGGTTTTGAGAGAGACAGCAACACTAAAGGACCGTTAGTTTTACTATCTCAGATCAAACTTGTTTATAGGTAGTATATAAAAGTGGAAACTGTTTTGCTGTTGACTTTTTATAACCTATTGACTTTCTGTGGTTTTGTAAGAGTAAAGTCACAATGAGGTTAGTGTCGCAAGACCCACGCGTGATGGCTCTCTGGGGAGCACGGGGAGAGCTGACCAAGTCTGTCTGAACACTTTGCAGCAGATCACCCAGCTTTGCTTCATCTTTCCCGTTCCCGTTTGTGGGAGACGCATGGGGTCCCCCGGCCCGGCAATCATCCAGCTGATGTCACATCCCTCATTCCCTCAATAGCACAAGCTGATATTCTCCATTTTGCTCAAATGGAAAAGCTGCAACAATTATTTTCATAATTAGCTGGCTTTTCAAATTAATGCCAGTTATGCTATGTAATCATGATGAAGATTATGCATTAATCAGCTGTTTGAAGCCAGTTATTAGGCTCTTTAAGTAATGATCGGAATGAACATCTCTGAAGGAGAGGCGCACGAGCCAAGAGGGACGGCAGCGTGCAATCTCCAGGAACCGGGACCCACCGCCGGAGGGACGGGGCTGTGCTCGGCTCACCCGGCCGCAGCCCAGATCTGCCCTCAGGCGCTCCCCGGCCCCAAGGAAAGAGCAGGCTGTGGCATGTGGTGGCTGCCCTTCAACACCTTGCAACTGCAGTAGAATTCACATTGTCCCAATATATTCAGCACCCAGCAGTGTAACCAGAAATACATCACTTCTGCCCGTCTGCTTTCTCATTGCCTGGCACTAAATCCAAGGTACTGGGTGGCTGCACAGAAAATTCTTTTCTGTCAAAAAGCCTATTATATCCAGTTGGATGTCTGGAACATGAATTTATCTGGGATCAAACACCAATAATCCACACACCCAGTCCTTCTATATTGTGTCATAATAAGACATGCTCCAAAGCAACCCTGGAGAAAGCCCAGTGTCAGTTAGTTTGTAATCAATGTAAGATGAATCCAGTCATCACTTCAGGATGATGCTAGAAAACAAAAAATCCTGTGCTAAAATTTTCTCGACAGTAAAGCTTTGAACAGAAAGACAGTGCTGAATCTCGCACTCACTTTAGCTTTGTTTCTGCTGTAACCTTGTGTATGAACCTTCTCTGCCCTAAGAAGCTTAGATTGAGCTACCAGCACATGCAAACTTTGGTACGGGTGAATAATTTTCCTTACATCAGTCAGTAACCAAATGTTTCGGCATGATCCAGTGAGAATGAGGCACTTGCACAATTTTGCTAGGCTCCTGCCTACACTGCTAGGCATTCTAGACTGAAAATTTGCCAAAGATCGCATGGGACTGAAATGGGTCTCCAGAATGAGCATTCAGCCTCTTCTTCTGTATTCTCCCCTCTATTACCTTCGTTCCTACTGAGATCAGTAACATCTTTTTCTACCACAGAGATGCAATGAACAGCTCAAACGTTTTTGGATGTTTAGGAATGTAAATTAATTACCACCCTCACAACTGGGGATGCAGGTGCACAAAGTCTGCAGGGGAAGGGGAGGGAAGTGATCAGGGGGAGCAGAAAAGTCAGAGGCCTCCCTGTGCACCCTTGCTGCGAAAGTCTCCCGGCATCGCTACCGTGGCTCCCAGCCCGTGGCTTTGGTCGGGTTCTTGTGAGGAGGTGCAAAGCCTGGCCGCCAAAAACTGGCGCTCTTGGCTAACACCAAATTGCCGCAAAAACTATAGACAACGTGTTCCGGCTCCTGGAGGAGGATTCATGCAGTTGCTTGAAAACTAGGAGGGCAGAGAAGACATCTGTTGTCTATAACAAAACATTTTAGGTCTACCTTAAATTGAAGAGGAAGATCTTCTTTCTGCTAATGAACTCAGAGACCATCTGTTACCAATTGCACTTGCTTATCCCACTCATCCATTAATTATTTTGGTTTACTTTTTAATAAGATAGAGCAAGGTTTATGTGTCTTTCCGTGGCTCTGTAAGGGGCACAGGACGGTGCCCACATCTCCAAGACAAGGACATGCAATTACATAATTTACGCCTGCACTGAGTCACTTCAATTACAGCGGCTGTCAGTGGGGAACTGAGGACAAGGCTCACAGACACAGAGCCAAGAAACCCAGCGATACTGTGACATGAGCTTGCTGCCCTTGGGGAGGTGTAATGGCATTAACAACTTTTGAACACGGGAAAGCATGCATTCAAGATGTGCATTATTGAGCAGATAAGCTGTAGGGTAGGCAAATTCAGAAGTCTCTGCTGGTCTGAATTAAGAACTTGGATAACTAAACATGAGGAACAATAAAAGATGAGAAGGGCACTAAAAATGGCACGAAAAATAGCAGGCATCGGTGCCGCACTGCCTGCCTCCCGAGTGGGGACTTGCTGATGGGTGGACGAGGCAGGAGGAGTCCAGCGAGGTGCGGAGGGAAGGGCAGTGCCAGCTCCGCACCGCAGGAACTCCTCAGAGCACAAACCTGGAGCATCTCTGCAGCTCAGCAATAAGCCCGTCCGTACTTCCCAAGGTCTAGTCCTTAAGTTTTATGGGAAGCCACTCATCTGTCTCATACATGTACTCCAGGACTTTAAATTTGTCCTCTATTGCCCTGCAAAGCTGGCATTCTGAACGCTTCCAGGGACCAGCGTATAACAAAACCCCAAATGTTTTCATGTCTTTATTTCAGTCCAGGAAACGTCCCAGGAGCAAGCCTTGCTCAGCCTGCAAATGTCACAGCTCTGTCCAAGAGTTTTCTCGTCCTTGCTACATAAGATTAATAATCAAACTTTATGTGGCTTAATGCTGGTTTTGTCTTGTCTTGCAGGAGGAATCTTTGAGTACGCAGATGGCCCCAATACCCAGGTTATGAGTGCTGAGGAGCAAGCCTTCAGATTTTCTGCCAATATTATTAATAGGAACAGAACTTTGTTGCCTAACACAACACTAACCTACGACATTCAGAGGATACACTTCCACGACAGCTTTGAAGCAACTAAGAAAGGTAAGAGCACAGCACACTTAGCAGCTTTGTGGCCATTTATTCATTAAAAAAAGGCATGGTTTGGCTTGAGACCCAGCAGCTCATTTTGTCCTGCGCTAGTCAGCGACTGAGATGAGAAGTCCTCCAGGAGCTGACCTTCCGGAGGCATTTTAATGTAAGGGGAACAACTAGTCTTTTTTTCCTCTGCAAACCTCACAAAACTCCTTTCAGTGTTTGCTTCTAATCCTGAGCGAAGGTCTATAGGCCATGCCTTTGTTTATCTTACTGTATCCCTGGCAGTTTTAACATCCCTGGCGTAGAAGTTCTGTTCCCTTCCAAACAGTCACTTTTTATTATCGGATAACAGCAGCCCATTTGAATTCCTGAAGGGGAGGGAAGAAATGGGACTACAGAGCTGCAGGGCAGACGACCTGAGGGCTTATCGATTTGGGAGGAACGAAACCTGCTGCCTGAGCTCGCAGTTGTGAGAGGGGCATCACCGGAGAGAGGGGCTATCTGCTCCGCGGCGAGTTCACTGACCCCGACTGTCCCTTTTTGGGATTGTTTTGTTGGGGAGGTTTCCTCGGACCTCTGCACCCAGCTTGGCCGCCCCAAGTGCTGGGAGAGGAGCAGGACGCGCAGGACACGCATGAGGGACGTGTGCATGTCTGGGGACACCCGTGCGCTTCGGCTGCTCCCTGCGTTTGTGCCCCTTTCGGGCTGGGAGCAGTGGTGTTCCGAAATGTAGCTGTCACAGAGCTCCTGCTGAGAGTGGCAAGTGTTTGTGTTCAGTTTGGAAGGACCTGCAGAGGCAGTTGAGAAATAACCTGTTCCTGTTCCTCTGAAAAACTTAGACTTTCCCCCCCCCAAAAAAATGCAGCCCCAAATGCAGTTGTTCTAATATCTCAGTGAAAGGTTGAACAAAGCTATGAAAAACATTATTTTGCAGAAAAAAAATTCTATTGAAATTGATGGAAGGATGCATTTGTCAGGGTGATTCTGATCATCTCTGGGTACTTCTTGCACAACTCTGGAGGCTCAGCCATTTCTAACACGCCGTAGCCAGTATTGCCTCCTCTGGAAACGTCCCTGTGCCTCTACCCACCGGTCCAGACCCTCGCCTGCCAGAATTCCTCCTCTCTCTCTCTGCCTCTCTTCACTGTTGTAATTACTTAAACTCTATGCTGCTGTTAGTGCCCAGAAGGTTGTCGGTCTGTCCACGGCTCTGTGGGTCATGGTCATGGCTCCATGGTCAGGAAGAAGCTGTTCGTGCCCCCACGGCTGCCCTGATGCTCACCCTCCCGCAGAGGTGCCCCGTTCTTTACCGACAGCATCCTTCCCTCCTTCCTTTTCCAGCCTGTGACCAGCTCGCTCTGGGGGTTGTAGCAATATTCGGCCCTTCCCAAGGCTCCTGTACCAACGCCGTCCAGTCTATCTGCAATGCCCTGGAAGTCCCCCACATACAGCTTCGATGGAAGCATCACCCTTTGGATAACAAGGACACTTTCTATGTCAACCTGTATCCTGACTATGCTTCTCTGAGCCACGCCATTCTGGACCTGGTGCAGTATTTGAAATGGAGGTCGGCCACTGTGGTTTACGATGACAGTACAGGTAGGTAAAAGAGATTTTTTGTTGTGGGTCCCGTTTAGGAACTTTTCTAATGAACCTTTTTAGGAGCAGAATGACACCCCAGGCAGTAACTGGCACACGGGGACACACCGGTTCCCCAGTATTCAGGCAAGCGTTGTGGAGGGCCCCGGGGTTCTTTCTGCAGCATTTCATTCACAAAGCGCTCAGCAAGCGGGTAACCCTCAGCACCACCCCAGCTGACAACGGGTCAAGGGGAGGATTAATTGCCCGTGCTGAGATCTGGCTCAGCTCGGCTCTATTTGGCTCCGCGGTGCTCATCTACACAAGCAAAGACCTTGGTCTGCGGCTGCCAGTGATGGTGCAGTTTCCCAGCTAAAAGCAAAAGCAGATCTGGAAAGTTTTTTTGTTTTCTGGCTAATTCTATAAAACATAGCTGACAAAGTTTTCCACATAAAGCAAGCTGTTGATGGTTAAACAAAGCAAAGCACTGCACAGCACTATAGATAAAAACCCCCAAAAACAAAAGACACATTGGATAGCCTGTCCAACCTAATTCCACTAAACCAAATGGTTTCTTTAGGGGAGGGCTGATGAGAACACAGTTTGACATTCCTGTTTTGCAAATGTGGGTCACAGTATGTTCCCTTCGTGGCATATTCTAATGTATTTCTTCTACTATGCAGAGGGACATGCTTCTCTTCCTCCTTGCAATAGGCATCTGCTGAATTTCTTCTTGCAACATTAGCTATCAATAATTCCTGCTCAGCTGCATGCAGCATGGCTTTGTACCCTCTGCATAAAAAAGAAATTAATTCTAAGGGTAGTAAGAAAGTTACAAGTTATGATTACGTGACCGTTATGAACTATGCTATTCATAAATCTAAGTGCATCTTTTTTGCTGTTGTGCATGGTAAATACCGCAGATATTAATTTGTTGTATAGCTGATTATCACATTCTGTCCTCTCTCAAGGGCACATTTGCTTAAGAAAATATGTCATGATCCCAGAGATGTCAAAGGATAGGACCAATCTGCTACTCTCCTCTTCCTGCCTAGTGCAGGGACCTCAGCTCTACCATGGGATGCAGGGGCAGCAGGGAAACACCAGGAAAAGCTGTTCTGCCTTGGAACAACTGCTCTGGAAATATCAAGGGGTTTAATGATTGACACGACACCTTGGCTTTGATACGCCTTTAGCAATGGCCAGTTGAGGGAGGGAGGAAGGTCTTGATTGCATTCCATAAAATAATACAGGAAGAAATAACCTGCTGTGATACCCAGCCTGCAGGGCAAAGGCAGGCTTTCCTGTAACACTGTGGCTTTGTCTTTGTGCGATACCCGAAGGCCTCATACGGCTGCAAGAGCTCATCATGGCCCCATCAAGGTACAATATCCGGCTGAAAATCCGCCAGCTCCCGCTGGACACCGACGATGCCCGGCCGCTGCTGAAGGAGATGAAGCGGGGCAGGGAATTCCGCATCATCTTCGACTGCAGCCACCTGATGGCAGCTCAGATCCTCAAGCAGGTGAGCGGGGGGGGGGCGATGGGGGCGAAGCAGGGGTGGTCGCCGAGGGACCCGTGCGTCCGGGGTGGCCGCACTGCAGGGAGAGCCCCGCAGAGAGCGGTGCAGCCCTGCACCTTCCCGCTGTCCAGAGCGCACAGCTACGCTAACAGCTACCACGCGTACATTCCGCAGGGATGCTGTTGGATTTCTACAGAAAATGTAGTTTTCACTGAAAAACTGCAAGTATCGAAAAGCGACTGTCCGTAAGAACGAACAAACGTTATGGGAGGAGGAAATGCCGGGCGGTGTGTCGAAGGCAGCGCTGAGGCCAGGCGGTGGGCCTGCTGCTGTATGCGGCTGGCGC